GAGCCAAAGATGTTAGAATTGTGTCGATGTCCCAATATTTCTGGACCTGACTGTATATCAGTAAGCACAAACAAGATGATGGTTATATGCTAAATATAAAATTGTAATTAATGTTGGAGTTTATTGTGCATAGTTATATTGGTATATTATAGTAAGAGTGAATGTAACATTTGTAATATTTTTATCCTGTCCTTTCTGCCCAAAATGCAAATCAGTATATTGGACGTTTTGGTAATGTTCTGCAACTTCTCCTGAATGCATCTTGCAAACTTCCATAGAAGACATGCAGAATTTCAAAGAAAAAAATTGTAGCATAATAAAGACTAATACATGTACTATAGGAAGAAAAGAGAAAATTGAATCTGAAAACTATCTTCAAGAAAAGATCTCACCCAGAAGAAGACCAAGACTTGTTCTTTAGGATCCAGTGAGCAGGACATGGGATAACAGTTTTACATTACAGGAAAGTATATTCCTGTTGAGCATTAGGAAAAATGTCATTTAAGTAAGAGCTGTTTGACAGTGGCACCAAATAAGCAGAGAGGAAGTGGGTTTCTCATCACTGGATGCATTCAAACAAAGGCTGCACAGCCATCTGTCACAATTGCTTTGATCTGGATTCCTGCATTGAACAGGGGGTTGGATTCAATGCCTAAATGCTGCTTTCCAGCTCGATGAGTCTATAATTGGTAACTTTTCTTACAAGAAAAAATGCTATTTACCATGCAGATTTTTTTGTTAGGAGTTTGAAAAATATTTCAGAGACAAAAGTAAAGATCAGAGTTAGAATTAGGATAGCAAACAAACTGAATGATGTCTTCCTTCCTTCCCTCTAAATAAAACAGTTGACATCAGTTGGGAAGAGGTGTCACATTTCTTAAGCTCTGAAAAATGTTGCTTTCAACATACACAAATCCTACATAAATAGACCCTCCTTTAGAAAATAGTTGTAGATACAATTACCAGAAAAATTGCAGACTTAATTTGTTGCATCAGAAGGAAAAAAAAAAAAGAATCTTATAGTCCTAAATCTAATACACTGATTGTAACATATGTTTGGGGGAATATGCTATAGATGTATGATATGTTACCCTTGATACAGGAATTTAAATACACATCCAGTTTGGTTCTTTTTTTCTCTTTTTTGTGACAACAGTGAGATTAGTAGTAAAATAAAATGTTGCAAGGACGGTGTTAACTTCTACACTGACAGTGGCCATTCACAAAATAATTGTTAGATGTGATACATACATTCTGTATATTTCTTTATTCAATGATTTTCATCAAGTATCTTAGAGAAATAGATATGGGTAATAATTGTCTTAAAACAAAATTATAGATGCCATCTCAAGTAGTTTGAGCAAGTTTTGCCTTTGCACTGTAGGAAAAGTGTTCCTGCAGAGTTTGGAATGATATATTGGTTTTCAGTATTCCATTAATCTGAAGTCTATAAGAGGAACCAGATAGTACATTACTTGTATCAACTTTCATGTTTCTTACCATATTATATATCACTACTGATAATATTACATTGACATTAGAAAAATGCCAGAAATTTACTTTAAGAATCACCATTATCAAGTACTTAAATATTATTTGCTAAAAATGTATTATAGAACTCTGAATGCTTCTTAATTTCCAAAGTATTAATAGGACTAGGACACCACTACAAGTTTGATTTCTTCTGGTTAACACACAGAGAGAACTGACTTATTTTTCTAGAAATGTAAACGCAAAACCTGGTGGAACCAAATCTTTAAAACACTACAAGTATGAATTGTGCAACAGGGCAAATGTACTACCAGTTTTAGCAGACTCTAGCTCTATAAATAGCATATTTTAACTCTAAAACCTTAGACATTGCTTTAATACGATTTGAGTATTTTTTAAAGGTAACATGTTTCTGTATGCACAGAGACAGGAGAGGATTTCAGCAGTCTCTCAAATTTCACAATATCTTATTGAAGCATCTTATATATAATTATTTAGTACACATAGAAGAAAAGATTAGATTAGTACATTTCATGTTGGAAGGCAATATGATCCAATCCTGACACCATTCAAACAAAAGTAATATATTAATTTAATCTCCTGTTCAAGTACAGAGCAAAATTGACTTATGTTTCCAATTAAGTGGCGGTGATTTAGTTGCAAACAATCATAGATTTCCCTTATAACTAGCAAAGAGAACAAATAGCTGTAAACAGATGTCCAGGATAGTTTGCTTTTTAAAATTGTAGCCTCAAAGAGATTTCCTATATAAAAGTAGTAATTCAAATCATGACAAAAGGACGGGGTATAATTGAATCTGTGTCAACAAGCTACATATCATGTAGTTGATCACCAGAAATCCATATATAAAAACAGACACATTAATGCAGCTAAGTAGGATATCTATTTGTTTTCATATACACTGATTCAAGCTAACAAATCCTCATATGCCACAGAATTATACTGACCAGCATTAATGCTCTCAGCAGGCCAGAAAACCTGTAAGACCTACTAAGACAACACTGGACAAAATTCTAGGGGACACAGTACCTGCGTCTTTTACCCAGATTCTAATTTTTACAATTTCACTTTAAAGTTGTTGAAATAAGCAGTGTAGGAGTGTGATACACTGATCCTATTATATTAACTGACCAATTCTCCTAACAACATAGGTAAAGCATTACAATATTCCACTCTATTCTTTTTAAAAAGGTTACACAACAGGAGTGAAGTAGTATACCTTAACACATTTCATAAAGATAGGGAGATATACATTTTCATTTTTCTGTGAAGAAATCATAACCTCAGCCAATCTAATAGTGCAGATTCTGTGTATCAGTCATTTATTTATTTTATTTATATTTCAAATTTAGATACCACCCATCTCACAAAAAAAAGGACTTAAGTCTTCCAAGAACAACCTATAACAATACTTGCAAATTACACTTCAAAGTTTGCTTGCAGCATAGTATTTACCACCCAATATTTATAAGATTGTAGCCTGGAATAATTTCATGGGCGAATTTAGTCTTCTATGAAATACTATCAAGCTCATGACCCATAGTCTTAACAAACCTCATCTGACTCCTAATCATTCCTATTTTAAACAAAAAGTCCTACAGAAATAAGATACAAGCAACAGAGATGAAGTACCAAAAGTCAGAAGTGATTTTAGCATACTACCAAGAACTACACTCCTACTCCAGATATTCACTGCTTTGAGACTGAAAAGAAAAATACACATCCACCAACCCATCAAAATTTTAAATACATATCCAGTGCTAGTATCTCAGGCTTTTACAAGATCAATCCCTGCATGTACTGCTTTGGATATTCAAAATAACCATCTAGTCTGCAAAATGCTAACACACATAAGTTCCAAACTGAGATTTAAAAACTGCTATAAATTATATTCTTTAATAAGGGATTATTACCTCTGTTCACCTGTGATGGGAGCCACTCTGAAGTTACCATATCAGCATAAGGAATATCCCAAGTGGAACGAAACTGCAAAAGAGCAAAACAGATTTCCACTCTATGCATAACAGTCACCAGGAAAATCTTAAATATACTTACTAGGACATAAATGCTACTGCATTCAGTGAGGTTTACTTCTCAGTATACATTTGTAGGGTAACGATTTTTATTCTATTGCATTGCAGCATATTCCACTGTAGCAAATGGAATCATATTCATGCTGCATAACTGCATATTTATTGTGGGACAAGAATGCTGGGATGCTTCATAAAGCCTACATGCAGTGCTTAAAGGTTTTCCATACAGGTTTCAGATTCTTAGCTGAAACGGTATTAAAAGGAACCTTATGTATCATCTTAATTTGTTGAACTAGATTTAATCAGCCAGAGCTTATGCCAATTTTTAAGGTACCACAAGAATTGCTGCAACAAACATCTCTCTGAAAAGTATTAAAAGAATCCTTATTACATCTCTAGTTTTGAGTGATGTTGACTCCTATTTGAAAGGTTGGCAGAAAATGTAAAAACCATCATGGCAACCTTGATAGTTCTATTAACTAAGACCATATGAGGTTTTCTTACTCCTCAGTCATCAATCCTGTTACTTGGTTTACTCTAATTTATTCTCAGGTAACTGTTCACATGATTACAGCACCAGTCTATGCAATAAAACATCAATTTATAAAAACCAGCTTTTAAAATACTTAGTAACTGATTTGTGCACAATAATTTATAAATTGCACCAAACAAGCCTTTCACATGTACAAGAAGCCTTGGGCTATTCCATTTGGTAACTTCAATATCTGTATAATACACAAAGTTACAATATTGTGGTGCCTAGGTTTGTATGTTCTCTAAATATATCATGTGAAACAGCCCTGAGATGGAGGAAACTTAAGTAAAAAAATTCACATCCTACGCAATGAAGGGACTTGTCATACTTCCTTAGAACAAGTTACAAATATTTGTAAGGTTTACTGTTAGAACAGTTAGAAAATCAACTTACTTCCAAAATTAGGGTTGGTGGAAACAATGTTTCAAAATTAATTTCTTTTTCTTACTATACTGAAAATTAAGATACTTACCTGTTAATTTAAGGGTTTCCTATTAATGATACACAATTAAAGATGATAGTACTCAGTATGTCTCTTATACCTGGTACCTCATAAATTCTGCTGAACCCCTCTTTTTTGCTTTCAAAGAAATGTTGTCTCCACCCACTGGAATTCTGCACTGAAGTATATTCTAAATAGTTTGTTGGGGGAAAACAACAAATGTGTACACGTTTATTTTACATTTCTCTCCTACCTATCTAGAAAAAAATATCCAATTTGCTAACAAAAAAAAAGTACAAAATGGAAACGTTATTTAAAATTTAATTAAAACCACAACTACATTAAAAACAATTACAAAAATCCAAGAGCCAGTATGGTGCAGCGATCAAACTGTTGAACTGGCAATGGGGAGACCCAGGTTCTAGTCTACCTTCAGCCACAGAAGGAAGGAGGAAATGATTTGTACATTGCCCTGAGCTCCTGAAGGAAAGACAGAATATAAGTCTAATAAATAACAGTTAAATAAAATAAAAATAGTTCCACTATCACAGATAAAATTTATAAATCAAACTCCAATTGGAAAACATTCTTCTCCATATGTGAAATGCCTATAATCTGATGGCAGTTTTCAAAAGGACAAGGAAGAATAAGCTATTCAGATTTAATTATACAAAACTGAGGTCCTGTGGGTAAAGAAATCAGTTCCTGTATATGAAGGCTCACAACTAATCTTAGAGTCTCCCTGAAGGACCAAATATGCAGCTTGGCAGTTGTCCTGGATTCTGCATTAATGGGAAGCTCAGGTAGCAGCCAGTAATACTGCTTACCAATTTAGACTAGTTTGCCAGCTGTAATCCTATCCAAAGACAGATCTTGTTTTAGCTATCTATGTACCAACAACGCTTAAATGGATTATTATAATGCAATGTACTTGAAATTATCCTAGAAAATGATTTAGAAATTTCAAATGGTAGGGACTATACTTGTTCATATACTGTTGAGGGCATAGTAGTGGTATCATGAAAATCTTATATTACATCAGCTGTATTTGGTTGCCAACACATTTCTCTATTTCATGTGCTCGTTTTAGACTTTAAAGCTTGAAATAGTTTGAAAACATAATACCTGAAGAAGCATTTTTATTCATATCATCCTGCCCATATCCTAGAATCACAGCACATAAAAGGGACAGGGTTCTGTCAGTGCCAAATACACATCTTTGGAATGTATTACTTTGGGCAATGCAATAGACCTTTTCCTTGCAATCAGGTAGAAGAGCAGTAAAACATATTTGTGTAACTCTGTCAAAAACTGATTTATTGGGCTGCTGAATGAAATAAATATTTGCTATAAATTTAATTGGATTTTAATGTTTGTATTAGGCTGGAAACTTTAGTTCTGTCCATTGGTTATTGAGGTTTTTTTAATACTTAAAAGCAAGATATATTTGCTTACTTAAATTAGAGAGAAAAATATTAGAGTTATTATTTCCCTGTAAGTGTAGATGTCGGCTTTGTATTCTTACAGATGTAACTTATTCAGAAGAAACTATCCTTTTAAGAGAGAGGTTCCTATACCATTACTAAGCATGTGGAAAAAGCAAATATAATTGGTGTAGCAATTTTTATACCTGCAGAAAAGCCTTTTTATATTCCTCTTGCATACAATTATTAAGGGTATTAGATCCCTGCCTTCTTTGCGTCGGCTATCTTATTTCCAGATCTGTAAAAAGATGGATTTTAATGTATTTTAATAAAGAATCAAATGTACAGAGCAATCTTACAGAACATATATAATTTATACTGAACAAAGTAGAATTTACTCCAAGGTGAGATTATGCAGAATTGCAGCTCTGATTGTGATATCCTATACATGTTTATTCAAGAATTATTTTTCATTTAAATGGGCTTCCTTCCAGGAAAATGCAGCCTGATTGATTCAGTCACCCAGCCCAATCCAATGTCTTCTGTTTGGATAACAGTACTGTAGCCAGTACTATAGTAACAATGTTACAAACTACATTTTTAAGTAAGCCATAATGGTTTAACACATATTAAGCCATAAGCCAAGATTTATAACCATAGTTAATAAACAACACTATCTGGGTTCCTAATTTATAGGGTAAACAAATTATCTTATAAATTACCTCAATATGTGAACCCAGTGTGACTTACTTGTGGCACATCAACAGTTACTAATTTATTACAAGTTCCCTAGCTAATTCTCTGGTAAAAATTATTTGCTACAAGAAAGTAGTTATTAGGTCATCTTGAATAATATTTTTTTTCATTCTGTAACAGTAGTAGAATAATTAAATAATTGTTTATAGGAGATCAATAGGGGTGTTTTTTATTCTGCCCACCCACCCCGGTCCCAAAACTGGGGTTAAAACATAGAGACAACATATTACTGTGAAGCTTTCAACTTCTCTCAAGATTACATAGTTTCAACCTCCCACATTTACCCCACCTCTGAATAAAGTACCTTCAGTTACAAATATATAGCAATTTTTAATTTAAGGTAAATTATACATTGGCCAAGTAAACTCAGTCAAGCAAATCTGCTATTTCCTGGGTTATCAGAGAGAAAATTAGCTAATAGTCTATTCTGAAAAATCTGTCACTATATCCCAGGGCTACAAATGTGTGATTAGTCAAACTGTCATGGTTTCTTTTCTATTGTGCTGAACATCAGGGCTGCACGAAGATCTGAATTTGATGGACAAAATCTATTCAGGGTATATGTAGTACTATCAGAACATCTTAAAACCAAATGTGTATTTTCCCAGGATTGTGCATTAGCAGTGGAGGGCAGCCAGCTAAACCCAGAGAAAGATACAGCTTCTTTAAGGTGTTCACAACAAATGTTACGTCAGGCCCATGCACACTGGAAACCACATTTTGCCTTCTGAATGTAGACTTGCACAGCTCTACAGAATTCAATATTCAGCACTTTGTCACATGGATCTTTCATGTTAACCCTGCTTAAAAACAACAACATACTGGCTCCTAGCCAATAAATGGGAGGACTACAATACATTACTCATCTTTACAAACATTTACACACATCTGTCCACACTCTGCGCTTTAGAATGGGGTGGGGGAGACAAGTTTAAAGAGGCGCACAGTTTGAGCTTCCAATATAACTTGAAACCTGCCAAAATCATGATACAATAGGACTGAAAAGTGGCGATATTGGTAAATTATTGGCATCTATAACAAAAGTTCTCTATGTATATTTATACTAGAAAAAATACCAATAAATACCAATAAGAAATACATGGGGGGGGGGTGTTGTATTACTCCCATTCATACAGATATAAGACAACTGCCCAGATAAGGCCACCAAGCATTCCTATTCATCGGGGGGGGGGGGGCCCTTACCCAAAAACTTTAGGTAAAAAATTTTTTTTATTAGGGTTAGAAAAAATGTAGGAATATTTAGGAAGGAATTTTG